GCTGCACCTCCACCAACCCCAACCAGCGCCTGCCCAAGGTGGAGATCCTGCGCAACGCCATCCGGTACATCGAGAGCCTGCAGGCCCTGCTGCGCGAGCAGGAGGATGCTTATTACCCGGAGCTGGAGCACTACAGTGGGGAATCGGACGCCTCCAGCCCCCGCTCCAACTGCTCCGACGGCATGGTGAGTGCCCCAGGGGGGACTCTTTGCCACCAAGGTGCCTCGGACGCTGTCAGTCCAAACCCGAGCAGGGCGAGTTGCCTCTTCCTGCCTTTCCGACAGCAGTTGCCTTCTGTACCTCCCCAGGCAGAAGCCAAGGTCCTTTCTTCTGCCTTGAGCTCCTGCAGCAAAGGGAGGTGGGGTCCCCACACACCAGGACCTCTGGGAAAGAAAGAATCTCTTACACACTTTTCCCCCAGGAAGGACAAGTTAGGCAGGGCGCCCTATGTCCTAGGGGAGCCCTATGTCCTAGGGGAGCCAGGGGAGAGCTGCTGGGGGAGCACTTTAGGAAGCTGCCTGGGATGGGTACCTGGGGGCACGGTGAGGTCTGAGCCCTGTCTGTGCTCCTGTAGCTCCTGAGGCATCTCCGTTTCCATCTTCTGCTGTAGCATTACCTTTGACTCTCTAAAGGACAGCAGAGAGGAAGGTCCCCATTGAATGCAGTAGTTACATGGGAACTGATAAGAGTCTGGGTTTTATTTTCTGCCATTCATCATGATAACACGAGCAGAGTCTAAGCAACAGGAGTTGTTTTTCTTAACCCTCAAGAGAAAGGTTCTCCATTTCTCTTCTCACTAACCTCATCCCCTCTGTAGACATTTACCAGATATAGGAAGGAGAATCCAGGCTTTCAGTCCTCTTTGTATGTTATGGGGACGGGAGAAGAAGGGTGGGTGCCAGAGAGGGTGTCTCATCACCGCATTTTTTGACTGGGATTATTGGTTCAGACTCTGGTCTGACTCTGGGGTGGTAGGACGTGGTGACTGGAGTGCAGGGCAGCTGTCTGGGTGGGATATCAACAGCACTTTAAGACTGGAGATTGTCTTCTATGCTCTGGTGGGGATAATAATTACTGAGTTGAATATCTGTGATTATGACATAGTTGACAGATAGGAGAGAAGATTTACACAAATGATCCCTCTTCAAATTACAGCCTCTTTTAATAGAAAGACTAATTTCATTTTGGATTAAAGTATTGGAAACAAATATATTGGTCAATGTTTTGGAGCTTTTTCTGTGCAAAATGAAAATGGGTAAAGAAAGTAAAGGAAATATGAAGGCACACAAATTAAACCCTCATTCCCCTTCCAGTCTCCCTGTTGTAAGCTCAAAATACATGTAGGGCTGTATCTGATCAGAATGCTGGAAAGCCTCATCTCATCTGTAAAGCTGCAGCTGTCAAAGCAATAGTGGCAACTTTCCTATGGAACAGCTATGCCACATTAAATATTCTGGGGTCGATCCCCTTCTAGCCAAGTTACGTCCTGACTCATTCAAAGAAACTACAACTTCATGGTATTTCTGCCAGGACTGGAATAATGGCACAGACTAGAGATGAAATTAGATGGTCACTGGGATTTTGGTAAGTGCAGTGACCTCACTCTGATTGCTCTCTTTCCAGATGGAGTACAGTGGGCCTCCCTGCAGCTCTCGCAGAAGAAACAGCTATGACAGCAGCTACTACACAGAATCACCAAATGGTGAGTACGTGCTGTAACGGCTGCGTGAAACATGGAGACAGAGGCAGGCAGTGCAGCAAACTTCCCTGTGCCTGCTCTGTCTCCAGCTGGGCTAAAAGAGGACCCTGCCTTTCTGCCAGCGAGCTGGTGCTGCTGGTAGAGGCGTTGGATTTCCTCTAGATGTATTTGCAAATGCAGGGATATGTTACAGCTGCGTCTCCTATTTTGTAGATATGACATTTGGATAAAAGTATTTTTCTCTCTGCAACTAATTTGCAGTCTTTAACCATGTTTTGTGTGAAGCCCTGGATCCTCCCTGTCCCCAGAGCAGCATACTGTGGTTGAGTCTCTCTTCCATTTTGCAGCTGCCATCTCTGTTTTATGACAATTGGCATCCTTCACCAATATTCATTTCCTCTGAGTCTTCACATGTAGATGTGTACCTGCCTACTGATGTTAAGTACCCACTGGATAATCTGAGTACATTTTTGTCTGTTTTTTTAGATCCAAAGCATGGGAAGAGTTCTGTTGTTTCCAGTCTCGATTGCCTCTCAAGCATTGTAGAGAGGATTTCCACAGATAATTCCACATGTTCTATACTGCCTCCAGTGGAAACTGTTGCTGAAGGGAGTCCCTGTTCCACCCCAGAAGGAGCAAATCTGAATGATAGTGGAGCCCAAATTCCTTCCCCCACCAACTGCACCCCACTTCCCCAGGATAACACCAGCAGCAACCCCATCTACCAAGTGCTATAAAGGCTGGTCCAGCTGGGCTGCACTGAATACAACTTGCTCCATTTGGCCACACTTGAGACCTGTCTTCTAAGATTGAAAAGACTTCTTAAGACTTGTTCCAGTTTTCACTCAGTATCACTCAAAATTCCTTCAAATATATAACTTTTCAAACCTGTATTTCTTTAAAATACACATAGTTATTTATTGGTTGTTAAACTGAAGTTATTTAATATGTCTAGAGATAAAATTGTATACCATGAAATGGCCAATGTTTAATCTGGGCTGTGGGGAATAGGAACCTGGCTCTTGAATGTGGAGGAAAATAGAAATCTACAACAGTAGTGGCATGACAGATCCTTTCTATTACTCCTGTTCTGGCCAAAATAAGGTTGTGGACCATTTTTTATAAAACTTTTTGTATAATTGTAAATAAGAGTTGCTTTGCAATAAAAAAAAACGGAAAAAAAAGGAAAAAAGAGGCAAGGAAAGGAGAAAAAAAAAAAGAAACAAAAGCAGAAGTTAAAACCAAAAAGGGTAAATTTTAAAAATATTTAATATTGCTTGGTTTGTTGTGTCAAACTTTAACTTTATATATTTATACAATGTGGTTGCCAAGAATGTTTTCAACAGTATTCTAAATAAAGACCCTTATTTATAAAATCTGTGGTGTTATCTTGACTTTCATTAGGGCTTCTAGAATTACTAGTGCATTTAGGAGTGGTATTAGATTGCTGCCTTGTCAGGAAGAAGATCCAGGCTCTGATTCAGCAAAGAAATCAAGAACTTGCTTCAGTTGCACTACTTTCAACTACTTTGCATAAATATGTTGCTGAAAAGGGCTCTGCTTTTTTCATATTACATCCTGGTGATTTCTAAACCAAGACCTGAGCATCACAGGTCATTATTAAAGGACCTGTAAATCAATAAATAAGCATGTTTCTCCTCCTGCCCCCAAAATTTAAAATTACATTTGATCTTACAAAGATGTGTCGGAAATAGGGATCGCAATAAATTAGACTCTCCAAATGCCAGTGCAGCTACTGAAAGTTAAAGTCATACAACAGTATTTCTCAAGATAAAGTACTACATTTTTGGACACATGTTCACATTTTTCACTCAAGTTCTAATTTTCAAGTGCTTGTACCATGTTCATGTATTCTCAGGTATTAGAAACGAATTACAAAGGATGTTTTGTCATAAAGTTCAAGTTATAGATCACAGTTTTCCTCAAGTTCAGGATGGAATTTAGGCAAAAGATAGGCAGTTTTAATTTGGATTTGAACTTTATGCATCTCTGGCAGCACTACTCCAGGGATTTACTTCTTGTTTAGAGCCTCTCTAAAAATAACCAGTGGGCTATGTTTCATTCAGTATATATGTGTAACCTTGAAAGCTTGCCATGCAACTGAAAAATGTTAAGCCCTGAGCAGGTTGTCACCGGTAAGTAACCATCAGGGCATTTCTGTGGATCTGGACAAGAATAACCAGCAGCTACAACCAATATGAAACAATGTTTCTTATCATAACCTATGATTTATAGCTTTTGCATAAGCATCACAGTAAAATAAGTCCAAAAAACACACTGAAAACCAATCTAGATCTCATCATCAGCTCTAAATACTTTGATGACAGATTAGTCATTGTATTCTCTGTTAGGTGACCATTAAAGGGGGAATTTGTGCAGCTCTTACCTCTTAAGCAGGAAAAAGAAAGAGGGAACAGCTAATTCCAGGGAATGTCTTCCTCTCCTTTAATCATGTGTGGCCTTGAAGATCAATATTCGGTGGAGAGGAGAGGAGAAAGCTGCCTCATGTTGAGCAGAGCAATGCAGTTGCTTCTCCTTCCTGGGGCAGAGCCGTGCCCCAAGCTTGCTGATTTATCCAAAGCCAGAGGGGCAGAGAAGGTAGCAGCCATGGGGATTCCTTCCTCATCCATGCATTTGTGGTCCTGATGGATGATAAATCAGTGTCAAGGTGCAGGTCCATGCTGTGGAGCAGGTCAGGAGGGGAGAGGACTCAGAGGCAGAATTGACCCCTCAGCATCTGCATCAAAGTCCAGGTTTGTAAAAGTCTCCCACTGATTTCACTGTAGGGAGAAACCACTCCAATTCATAAAGTATGAGATTGCCTCTTTCATTTTTCCATTAAGAACAAAAATCAAATAAATTTGAGAATGTGCTAATTCATACTACCATGAATCCGGAGGGTCTCTACTAATGTCAGAGAAATGGCCCAGATTAGTTTGAAGCCTGTATCACTAACTTGGAAAAACTACAGAGAGACAGTTGCCTCACACGAATCAGGGCCTCGCACATCACCAATAACATTTTCATTGCCTTGAGCAAGCACTTCATCAGGCCCACAAGGCAAAAGATCAAAAAACGCTTTTATGAAATATTAAGGATCTCATCCCCCCATAATTTGAGGCTGGTAAAAGTATCAGTTCTACTGTCATGAAATGGCAACCAAAAAATATTTTGCCAGCCTAGGAACTACAGAGGCTCTATACACACTGGCAGCACAGAGTCCATGCACCCCAGTTCTGTGGGACACAATAGGGTGTACCTGGCTGCCAAGCTGGCAGGGCAGAGCGGGCACGGGGCACTTTGTACTCAACAATGTACACGCAGTTCCATGTGAAGTCATGTATATTGCATTTCACTGATTTATTTTAGCCACCCAAGTTTCCACATACTGATGTTAATGTTACAACAGAGAACAGGCATTTAGCACATCCCAAAATAGATGGATGGATGATGAAGAAAAAATACTCATAGATTTCCTATGCAGAGCCCACCTTTCTCCCACTGATGTCAGTGAAAAAAAAGTCCACTGGAGTAAGGCCAAAGGGCATCATTGCTGATAAATACATGTTCAGGTTACAGATAGATTTATTTTTGGACTTAAATAAGGAAAATTGTTCCCTGTGCAATTTCTTCCTGTTTATTTCTAAGGCAATATATTTCAAACAAATGCCTGGAGTTACTCCACTCCCCTGTGCATCAAGAGGACAGCATGTTACTGACAGAAGTATATCCCAGTCTACAAGTAAATATTTTGAAGCTATTAATTTGATTCAGAGCTTCAGTTTAGTTCCAATAGAGTTGAGGAGCAGAGGCAAGACTGATCCAATATTTACAAACTTTGTTTCTTAAACTGGGCTCCTGAAAATGTATTTAGGCATTCAGGGCTGATCCTACAAGCCAAAGTGCAGCCTACCTTGGTCTACAGAAACACTCCAGCATAGGCTATAAACACACCAATAGTCTGAAATCATCAGTTTATACAGGTTCTAGTTCAATGTTCTGCAAGACAGAGAACCTAAAGACCATCTGATTTTAGAAAATCTGAATCCTGCAGATTCCATGGACATGCAGAGCCTGGGAGAAACTGGGGGTAACAGCAAAGCAGACCATTCCTTTCCCCGAGCTGCCTTGGCAGGGTGGTACAGAGCCTGCCTGAGTGTGGATTTGGAGCTCTTCAGTAAAGATACTACAACTATCTGATGTTTCCTATGGAACATCACCTCCACAGGCAAAGTCATCCAGAGACAAATAATTAAAGGAAAGTAGCTGTCTGATGTTAGGAAAAACGTTTTCCCTGTTGGGGTGCTCAGGCACTGGAATAGGTTGCCCAGGGAGGTGGTGGAGTCACCATCCCTGGAAGTGTTTAAGAGGTATCTGGATCTGGCACTGGAGGATACAGTTTAAGGTTTATAGGTTCCAGCAGAGTGACAGGTTAATCATAGGACTTTATGATCTTAGAGGTCTCCTTCAACTTTGATAATTCTCTGATTCTATAATGATAAGGGTGTATTTTAGGAATGCTTGATTCGATTTGGTAACTTAAGCAAGCACTGTGTGACAAAGTCACATTACTGTTCTCTTCTATTAAACTATTGCTATGGAAAAAGTGAAGAGGAATGAATTTATACCTCACATATATGCTAAGTGATTTTAAATTTCATCAGGTCATTTGCAAATTATGAGAATGAAGGGGATCCTTTTTTGACTTTCAATATTTCACAACAAAATGTAATAAAGTTGCTGGGTTTTCAAATAGCAAAGCTAAACACCATTGCCCACATTATCATTGAAGCTGCTACAGAAATTTTTCACACACTGAACATTCAATTTTAGTTAAAATATATATGAACTATTCCTGGTATATTTTTTCCTTTTGGAAGATTTTATCATCTGTATCCAAAAATATTAAAGAAATATTAAGTTGGCAGTTACTTCACACCCAATGCTGCTCTTCTAAAATGACTTGTCATTTTTGACTCAAGACAAAGACCTTACAAACCCCCCTTGAATACAGAAGGAAAAACAATTTTTGTTTTACATCTCATATTTTGCAGAGATATTTGAAAGGTTCAAATTGTGCGAAGGGCAAACACTGCTAATTTTACTCATAAAAATAGCAATCTCATCTTCAGAACTACATCCAAAACAGACTGGGAAATGCTTGTACTTCATACCTTATGAATTTTAGCCAGAAGAAATAAATACTTCCTTTTTGTTTCTATTTTTTGTAATTATTTCCTTGAAATCAGTGGCAAAACTTCCACCTTCAATAGGAATAGCTTCAAACTAGTGCACATAATATTGTCTGGGACAGTGTTCAGATAGCAATGCAAAGCAATGACAAACTCCTTGCTGTGCACCTTCACTTGCACTCTGCTCACTGACCCATCTCTATCACAATGCCTTCAGATATGCCAATCCCCCTGAGCACAATGCTCCAAACAAGCTGCCAGGCTTTAATGCTCACCTGATCCTGAAAATACTAACCAGAAACTATCCCCAAATAGTGCTGAAAGCCTACAACAGTTCCAAAATGTGTGGCTGACATGGAGCCTGTGATAGCAGATGGTATGAAGGTCATTTCACATAACTTGCATGTGGCAATCTTGGCTTCACGAGCAGTAGGTAAAATGGTCTTTGTACAGTCAGAGTGCAAATCTCTGACAACACGATCTGCATTCAGTGTGTGTGAGAGAGTGTGGGATGGAGATAATAAGCCCACATGCCAAACATCCCAGAGATCATCTTGTGAGGCATATCCAAATACCTCATTAAGCACTATTTACTAATGCTTCTCAGCTCACCCTTCCTCCACCTCTCAAATCACTTGTTTTCCAATAAAACTGTGCAACAGTCATGACTTCTCCTTGATCAATGCAATATGCTCCCTTCTCAACAGGTTTGTTGCAGAACTGGGAATGTCATCAAGTGGAGACCTTTCAGTATTTGAGATTTCAGGGTCAGTGAGGGAGGGAATGGTCCCTACCAGAATACAGAAGAGCCTTTAGATAGTCCTTTCTCTCTCAGGTACCACCAGGAATTAGGAACATATCTGGCATAGAGCCACTTGGGCCAGTACAAGGAATGCAGGAATTTCCTTGTGGACCCAGAAATCTACCTTTTGCATACACAGACACCTCTGAATAATTGTATCATTGTAAGTTAATG